TATTGTTAGTCCCTGCTCTGACGAAACAGTCCATTAGGAGTGATGGAAAGGTCTTTCTTAGTACATTTTTTATGTAAAGTGCAATGTGCCTTGTTTAAAAGTAATAATAATAATACAAAATACAGATAAGCCACAAGTTAAAACCAAACCCCAGCCATGACCCCGCCACTGCCATTAACAGATAACTAGTGTTCATGTTCTGAGGAGTATTTCATCTGGAACTCCCTAAGCAGCTCTCACACTCCAAGATCCCCATGATGTGAATTATATCCTCATAAAATAGTAATGAACCTACTTGACATTTTTTCTGAGGCACTTCTAGTGCCATGCTGCAATGTTTAAGTTCTGCGTTATTTTTCTCATCTCTGAATGTTAAAGACTAAATAGCAGTTGCCTCCTCCACAGCTTGTTAGACAGCCCCTGGTGACAAGGGAATATTCACTTCAGAAATGTTGATAGGAAATGACGATGTGTCTTAGAAAACCTCATGACCTGCACTTTCCATGTGATCACTGGGCTAGGGATGTCTCTGAGACCAGGTTCAAGGGGGAGGCTAGCAAAGGCCTTCTTCCTCTGCCTTGTCAATGACTCTTGATCATACCCTGGTTTTAGTTTGGTGGTGATAGGAAATTACATTTATCTCACCGTCTTATTTCCCTAGTACTGCTTTACTACAAGCCCACAAGCCAGTAGTTTTGAAAACCAGAAGTTCATTTCCGCACAGTTCTTGAGGCTAGAAGTCCGAAGGAGGGTCTTGGCCTTGTCGATTCTGCCCTGGGCAGGAGCTCCGGACGTTTCTTGGTTCCTTGGTAGCCTTAGCTTGCAGCTAAGGTGGCTTCTGTCTTCCCCCATGTGTGTGAGTCCTGCCAAAGTACCTGTTTATGGTCCAGAGGCAGAAGGTGTTCTTTGGAAACTCCCTCCTCATCTGATTAATTACAGTCGATTGCATTGTGGAAGGTCATCCGCTCTCCCCCTGCCAGCTGACTTCATCCCGTAAGTCAGACTCGACTCGATGCCAGTGAGTTTGGTTTGTTTGGGGTTTTTTGGTTTGGGAACGATTCCATAAATGCAACCAGATTGGTGTTGGTCAAACCACTAAGAACCATAGCCCAGCCCTGTTGGCACACACAATTGACTACCACACATACCTTTGTCTGGTAGAAGTAGGGAGTCATTTCTTGGAAAGGGAGTCTGCTTCCATCTTTCTGTAAATGCTAAGGAAATACATATCTTAAGTAATAGTTCTTTTTTTACCGATTTCCTCCCCCGCCCCCTCCCATTTAGGCAGCAATAAGGAAAGAACTAAATGAGTTTAAAAGCACAGAAATGGAAGTGCACGAAGAGAGTCGACAGTTTACAAGGTGGGTAAGATAGAATACCGTTTAGCGTAAATAATGAATCTGCGTTCTGCCGCTCTCGCCCTTGTTTGCTTTAAGGTGACCTCATAGTCCATGTGGTGGTCTTAAAGATATGATTCAATGAGATTCGTGAATGTCTGCACTTTCGTCATAAACTCAACTGTCTCTTATTTTATTCAAGGGTAAATCCATTTCTGGAATTAGTGTTTTCTTTCTTTCAAAGAACTGTGAATGTTTTTAAAAAGGGGCTGCCTTTTACTCTCTTTTCCCTCACTCCTTAATTTAATTTTCTGTGTCAGAAGACAGCTAAGCATCATTCACTCTGCTATTAGAAATATCCAGTTGACGTTTTATGCCCTGAACAGGTGCTGGTGAGAGTCAGCACGGGCACTTACGTATCTGCTTTGGGAGCACAATAGACATCACTTAGAAAGGAGAGAAACTCGGTCTTAGAAGACATAAGTTAGAACAGAAATCCAGTGTTCATGGCCCCATGGAAAATTGCTATAATCCTAACCATCCTTTCCCAGCAGCCTTCTGTTTCACTGGCTGTGCAAACGGGCAGGGGACTTTAGTAGTCTTCCCCCCACACCCGACGGACTTGTTCTGCTGGTTGATCCCACCACACAGGCTTTGCTTTCTAAAGACATGCGTGCAAATCAAATCTTTCCAAAGGGAATTGCCGTGAGCCCTGTCGGAAAAGATGATGATACACAAAAGACGACAGTCATTTTCCCTGGAAAACCAAAGCCTTCGGGCTAGAAAAGTCCTCTGCAGCCCCGACGCCTGGGTGCACCGGGGTTGCTTCTGTATCTGCAGTGATGCCTGTGCGCAGCCTGAACAAGTGTGAGCACATCCTCCAGACTAACGGGAACTAGGAGGAAAAGCCTGTTAGGCGACTTCCCAAAACCAGCCATGGCAAAAAAAAGCCCTGTGGATCCCAACAGTCCAGCTCAGAACCCATCCCAGTAATGGTGGGGGACTGGGCAGCAGGCCGGTGCTTTGTGCATGGGGGGGGTCCCCCTGCGTCAGGGGTACTTAACCACCCGCAGTTCACACCCACACTAACAATGTTTCAAGGCGGCAATCTCACTGTATTTATTCCTAAAT